CGATATATTTTGATCATGTTTTCCCCTCTTCTAATTTTTCCTAGAGCCTCCTCCCTTCCCTACCCACCCAACTTAATGTTTTCTATCGCTCAGCAACAACAACAACAACAAAAACAAGTAAAAAAGCAAAAACAACCCCCAATCTACAAAAAGAAAAATCAAAACAAATAAGCAGACCTATGAAACAAACAAAAAAAAAATGTCAGACAAAATGAAACAGTTAACAACAACAAAAACCATTGAGTCTGCATTGTCTTGGCCTACTACTCCTGGGCATGGAGCGTGCCCAGGAGGTGTGGGTGATGGACTGGAGACACCGTATTGGAGGAAACTGATTTTGCCTTGGCCAGTGGGTCTCAACTGCAGACAGCTTCATGGTTAGACCCAGTGTCCACTTCACTCTTTTGGCGCTTCAGCTTGCACATGCTGCCACAGTCTCCATCAGTTCATAGGTACATGAGTCCTGTTGTATCTGGAAGACAGTTTCCTTGGTGTCACCCATCTTCTAACCCCGCTCTCAACTCTTCCAATCTTTCTGTGTCCTCTTCCACAGAGCTCCCTGAGCTCTGGAAGGGAGAGGTGTGATAAAGATATCCCGTTTAGGACTGGGTATTTCAAAGTCCCTCATTCTCTGCATGTTGTTAAGTTGTGGCTCTCTGTGTTCCCATTTATTGCAAGAAGCTGCTTCCCTGATGTTGGTTGAGTGAGACACTGATCTATATAGGTGTAGCAATATGTCATTAGGAGTCATGTTGTTGTTTCTTTATTATTCTGCTATGTTGCTTTAGCAGAATAATAGTAAGTTTTTCACTAGGCCATGACTTAGTTTTAGATTCTTGGCCTCATTAGCAGTGTCAGGTATGTGTTCCATTTCATGGAATAACCAATAATGTACTTTTCACCATAGAAAGAATCTATGATTTTTTTTCACATCCTAAGTTTTTCTTTTCAATTTGGATTTTTTTTTTTTTTTAGTGATTTCTGTTTTCATGTCTTAAAATGTTTTCATTATTTCATTCAACTATTTGTGCTTTTACAGTATTCATTAAAGCACTTATTCATACTTTTTAAGGTCTTTGAATGTACTTATAATTGCTATTTTGAATCTCTTGTGCTTCAGATAAACTGAATTCTTAGTGCCTATTACAATGGCTACTGGCTTCTGGAGGAGGCATATTGTCTTGGATGTTAGTGCTTTGTGCTTGGATCTAGACATCTGGAGTTTTGATGTTTAAGGTGTTCCTTGGTATAGAAACCTGGTCTCATTTTTGTCAAATGAGTGATCCTTCTGTGGCTGATGTGTCCACTCTGGGTCTTAGGCAAGTATGGTGGCTGTTGGGTTTCTTGGTAGTGTCTTTCTGTGTCTTTGATGAGTGACATGAAGGAATGGAGGTGAGCTAGCAAGAAAGTCTGAAAGGGGCAGTAGGAAAGAGCTAGGGGTACTGGATTGTACCAAAAGATGGAGTCTTCTGGGAGTGCAGTTGGGTATGGGAGGAGGAACCCCTCCAGGCAGACTGCTACTGGGGTAAGACTAATTATGGAGAGAGGAGTGGAGGGCAGGGAAGGCAGTGAAAATCTCCCACCCACATCTCAGCTCGGGGTGACCATTGGGAGACCGAGATCGTGGTAGAAAGTGTTTATGTGGGTCAGTGGCTTACATAAAAGAATGGGGATAGGCTAGAAGGGAGGGCTGAGAGGCTGGACAGGAAAGAGTTAAAGGGGATTCTGGGTCCTCACCAAGAGGTGAAGTCCCCAGGGAATAGAGGCTGAGTAGGAGGAGGCTCTCCTGCAGCAGGCAAGATGGAGATGAAAACTTTGCTCTGATAATTTTGAGTTTTTTAGTTTCTTTGGAGAGTAAAAAGCATGCTTAGTGCAGTATTTATATCTCCAAGATTTAATGTGAGAAGGGCCACCCCCAGAAGGTAGAAGGGAGATCATGTATTTCTGCACTTTAGAAAAAAATACCTATTTCCCCATGTATCATTCATGATTTGGAATACAGGATGATACAGTGGAAGCAAAAGTGTGGTCTTTGTGGTGGGAACATCTGGAGTTTTCTGTCGAGGCAACATTAAAACTTGCACATCTGCAAACCCTTATGATTATGTTTACCACAGTTTTTACTGGAATTAAAGGCGGAAGCAAAAGTTTTCTGGTCTGAAGTTTTGTGACGTGCTTCCCATCCTTGTGTCTCTGTGACTACCATTCAAACACCTGCTTCAGTGAGTTTCAGAGTCTACATACATAGGAGGATTTATGACATTTGTCTTTCTGACCTTTCACCTCGCATAATGTGAAGCGATGAATGTGCTAACTAGCTTGACTCCAACCATTCTCCACTTGTTCAGGAATCCTAACATTTTGTACTCTACAAATGCATATGATTGAGTTACACTACAAACAGCAAGGTAGAATCTCCTGCCCACATGCAGGACTTATTGTTTCCTTAAACTTGATTTTCTATAAATAGGCATTGATATTTGCAATCACGAGTTTTAACTTTCCCCTCTTGGATAATAATTATTTACAATCATCTTTGTATGCACTGGGCCAGCTACACCTCAGATGTTGCATGACAGGGCTACAAAAATCAGTATGATCCAATTTGGCCATCAGGGTGAACTCCGTATCACCATAGAGCAGCCACTATTAGGTGGTTTGATTCTAGGACTGAGGATTATGTAGGTCGTCATAAAGGAGTGCTTCAGGTCAAGGTGAAACGGCTATTCTTCAGTTATTTGTTCAGTAGTTATTGGTAAAGGGGCTGAAGTTGGGCTTCACCCGATCAACAGTAAGTCAGCAGCTCTGGACAGATTTCCCTGAGGGCTTGCTCTTTAAGCAGAGCTCAGCAGTACAGCTGAAGTGAGGCTGGATTGACTAGACCCATAACAAAGAGATTGAGAGAAAGCCAATTTAAAGACATGCTGAGAGGGGTGAACTGTTAGTGTAAATTCACACAGCAGGATGCTGAAGTGCTGCAAAAAGGGCTTCTGCCTCTGACGTAATCCGATTGGCCTGCTCTTTGATCACCTCCCCCTGAGGTGGGAGCAGCCTTACCAGGCCACAGAAGATGACAAAGCAGCCACTCCTGATGAGATCTCATAGACTAAGGTCAGAAGGAAGGAGAGGAGGACCTCCCCTCTCAGTGGACTTGGGGAGGGGCATGAAGAAGGGGATGGGACCTTGGGATAGGAAGGGGAGGAGGAAGGGGCTTATGGGGGGATACAAAGTGAATAAAATGTAGTTAATAAAAATAAAAAGAAACATTGCTAACCTTATTAGTTTTAATAAATTTAGTGAGTGCATTAAAAAAAAAAAAAGACATCTGGTGTCAGTCCTTTAAATGTGCCTTCCTGGCACCAGCTGGCAGTTTAACCCCCAGTGGTCCAGCGCTGAGTTCCGGAGTGGTGAAAACTGTGATGGGTAATTTTTGTCAACTTAAGAGTCACCTGGGAAGAGGGACCCTCAGTTGAGGAATTGCCTCCCAGATAGGCCTGCACAAATCTGTGGAACATGATTTCGTTCATGCGGTGCTACCCCAGGTGTGCTACGGGTCTATATGAGAAAGCATGCTGAGCAAGCCCAGAGGAGCAAGCCAGTGAACAGCCTTTCTCTCTGGTCTCTGTTTTAACTTCCTGCCTGGTTCGTGATTTAGCTTCCTTTGATGATGGACTACAATTTTAAGTCAGATAAACCCTTTCCTTCCCCAAGTTGCTTTTGGTCAGTGTTTATCATAGCAACAGAAGGAGGCTAGAACAGGTGCTTAGTCCACGCGTTAATGGGGGCAGTATGAGTTAATGGGGACAGCAAACTGCGTGAGATTCTGCCCTCTCTCTCAGGGTCTCTCACATTATGATGTAGCAAGAAACCCACGTCTGGCCCCTGGATACCAGACTTTCTAGTCTCCTGTTCCATAAGCCAAAGAAGTTCCAGTATTTGTAAACTTTAAAAGACCCACATTGGGGGCTGGAGAGGTGGCTCAGAGGTTAAAAGCACTGGTTGTTCTTCCAAAGGTCCTGAGTTCAATTCCCAGCAACCACATGGTGGCTCATAACCATCTATAATGAGCTTTGGTGTCCTCTTCTGGTGTGCAGGTGGTCTTGCAGGCAGAGCGCTGTATACATAATAAATAAATCTTAAAAAGGAAATATTAAAAAAAAAAAGACCCACATTTTGAGGCCAAACTGACTTACTTTTGCACATCCTGGAAGATTTAAATGTTGAAGGAACAAGTGAGTTTTGAAGTTTCGAAGTATGCCCAACATAAACATGTTGCCCTTTCCAAGAAGATGTGATCTATTTCTCAACTCGTCTTTGGCAATATATTAATTTGGGAAGAGTCAATAGGAAGTTTTGTGTTCTGAGTTCAGAGCCCCCCCCCTTTTGATGTCTCTACTTTCAAATTGCTTTTCTAGTTCCTCATCTGTATTTTAGATGAATATTCACTATACCCCACATCTAGAAACAAAGTCTAAATCTTATGGTTTACTATAAGCAAGCAGTTTTTAAAAGTAAGCTATTGAAATATAGAATATAGTACATAGAAATATAGAATATTTTAGAAAGGACAAGCAGTGAGCACTCTGAGGCTTTTTGACATTTGGGAGTTAGTGGTGAATCCATGGAAGTACATTAACATCTTAAAAATTTGTGTGAAGATATGAGTGTATGCCAGGTATGGGTGCCTGCGAAGGTCATAATATCCTGGACCTGATATGATTGCTGGGAACTGAACTCTGTAGAACTGCAAAGGCTCTTAACCATGGAGACCTCACTCCAGGCCCCAGATTTGTTTTAGCTTTTTTTTTTTTTTTTTAATTTTGTTTGTGATTGTGGTGCATGCCCATACATGCAGGCTCCTGCGGAGGAAGGGGTATTGTGCCTCCTTGGAGCTGGGCTTATAGCTGGGGTTATAGCCACCTGATGAGTGCTCAGAACTTAACTCATGCTCCTTGAGCTCCAGCCTAGAAAATACACTTTAATGCCACATTTTCCAAATCTTGGTCTATCTATACTGTTTATTTAATAAAACAGTGGTGTATCAATTGTTTCAGTGCTATAATGAATCGAGCCCCACTGGGAGCCCCACAGAGTGCATCCACAATTGGTTTGTAGACACCAAGGCTGCCCATGAGTTGTTTAATTCAGTAAGTTCCTACTCAACTTCCGTTTCTGTAACCTTTTTGACACAGCCCTTGGTAAATGACCAGATAAACACACCTAGCATTTAACAGGACAGCTGGAATAGTTGCCGTGAGAAACCATGGACAGAGAAATAAACAGGTTAATGACAAAAGCAGGGTGTGCATTGTCACCAGGAATGTGCCCTGTGTGTCCTGTCATAGTTCCATGAGAAGCTGTACTTCAGGAGAGGGAGCATGCTACAAGCCCAGTGCTTAGGAGGCTAAGGCAGGGGTATCCTGACTCAGGTTAGCTTGAGCTACAAAAAAAGCTTGAGCTTTAAGTGCTAACTTAAAAAAAAAAAAAAAAGGAAGGAAAAAACAAAAGCACAAACCAAAATCAACTAACCAACCCAAAACAAAGGGCATGTCAATCTCACCTCTGCTGAGGACCAGAAGTTACACTGTTAAAAGTTTTCCCCGTTAAATACACTGTTACTAAAGAACAACTCAAATGTAGTGAAGTTCCTAAAGGGATTATTAAACTATTTACAGAGAGCAAATTACTACATACTATGATTCACCATTGGGTTTTGGACATGTTGAGTCTATTGGGACCCAGACCCACAGAGTTTAGCAGAGATCTGTTGTCTTCACCTTCCACTATTTTCCTGATAGAGCTGGGGTGAATTCAGTTTCTATAGCATGCCATTTGGCAGGCGAATCACCACAGATGACACAGTGCATAAAGCCTTGGACCCACTTCAATGCTTCTCCTCTAGTCTCATGTTTTCCTTCTAGATCATCTGCCTTTGGAGTTCACGGGGGAAGGTGCTCACTGCCCCCACCCGAATGTCAGTTACCACTTCCTCCAGTTCCCACCACAGCATCAAGAACTTCCTGCGTTATTTTACACCTGAAAGATAAAGGGTCCTGGGAACTTCACACCAAATCTCCTTGGTGAGCCCTTTCACTTCAGAGTGAGGACAGGGAGCCAGATCCAGCTGCAGAAAACACTTTGGACAGTATTTCTGATTGGCTTTGCCTTCCTGGGTAGGGTTCAAAGTTCTGCAAGGCCTGCAGGCAATGCGCAGATCCTCTTCATGCTCGAAGTCTTCCTAGATGGGGCTGGGGAGAAAAAAAGTCCTTGGAGAGGCCGAGGGGACCCGCCATCAGTCTCCAGTGGCGGCGTGTAGATACCTCGCAATATCGCCGTGGCCCCGCTCTTCGGCCAAGTCCACCGGCAGGCGGCCCCAGGCGTCACACACATCCAGCCGCGCCCCTGCCCTGTGCAGCAATACAAGCGTGTCCAGGAAGCCCTCCCGAGCCGCGTCATGCACAGGTCTGGTGAGGGTGGCGGGGTCGGCGCAGTTGGGTTCCGCTCCGTGGAGCAGCAGCAGCTCCGCCACCTTGGCGCTGCCCATCATCATGACCTGAGGGAGAAGGAAGAGAGCTCAGGGTGAGTCTGGGTAGCGGGAGTTGGGGGCTCCTCATGGCCGTGCCATTTCATAGAAGTCTGTTACCAAAGTGAAGTTTCCAGCAGGCGGCAAGGGAGTTCGCAAGCCTCAGGTGCCTGGTTTCTTGTTTGCTTACTCAGTCCACTCTCCACCCATTACAGCCTAGGCTGAACTCAAAATAGATTCCATTTTATTCTCTACTAAGCACCAAGAAAGGGCGGGGAAATGGCTTTATTTCTTATACGGAACACTGGACAAGAGGGATTTATTTTAATAAGTGATTTGTTAGCTTACTTTGAACTGGGTGAGTAATTATTTTTCTTTAATTTCCCCCCTTTTCTTGAAAATAGACCCTTTCCCTCACATAATTTATCCTGATTATGGCTTCTCCTCCCAGTTCCTCCGCAACTCCCCTCTCATCCAGACCGATTCCATTTCTGCCTCCTGTTAGGAAACAATCAGGCATCTAAGGGATAATAACATAAAATATAAGAAAATAAAACAAAAACTAATACATTGGAATTGAATAAAGTAAACAGAAGGGGAAAAGCACAAGAGAAGGTACAAGACTCAGAGACACACTCAGGAGTCCATAAAAACAAATTGGGAGACATAATATATGTATAGCAATAATAATACATATAATAACAAGTATAGACATTATAATATGTATATATAATATGCACATATATGTATATGTATACACATAAGATACATAATGTATATGTATATATGTATACATACACAGAGGACCTATTGCAGATCCATGCAGACCCTGTGCATTCTGCTTCAGTCTCTGTGAGCTCATATGAGCTTTGATGAGTTCATTTAGAAGACCTTGTTTTCTTGGTGTCCTCCATCCCCTCTGGCTCTTACTCTCTTCTGCTGCGGGACTCCCTAAGCCCTGAGGGGAGAGGTTTGATAGAGACACCCACTTAAGGATGAGTGTTCCAAGGTCTCTCATTCTCTGCATATTGTCTGGCTGTGAGTTTCTGTATCTGTTCATATCTGCTGCAGGAGAAAGCTTCTCTTACCGTGGCTGAGCAAGGCACTAATCTCTAAGTATAGAAGAATGTCATTTGAAGTAGTTTTTTATTGCTACTTTTTTTTTGAACAGTACTATTCGGTTTTACCCTAGATCCCGGGACTATTTAATCTCTGGTTCTTGGTCACCCAAGCAGTGCCAGTTATTGGTTATCTTGTGGAGTGGGCCTTTAGTCAAGTCAGGTACTGATTGGCTGGTTGCCCCCACCAGGCGTGTGCCAACCACTGACCTAGCCTATCTTGCAGGCAGGATACCAGAAACCAAGCTTAATGAAGTTTTATATTGTTTCCCTGTATCCCTTTAGGTCTAACCAACCACAGGTGCTGGTTAAGTTTGTCAACTTGACGCAGCTACTCATTTGGGAAGAGGAGCCTCCACTGAGAAAAGCCTCTATCATATTGAACTGTGGGCAAGTCTGTGAGACATTTTCCTGATTAAGAACAAATGTGGGAGGGTCCAGTCCACTCTAGGTGTGCTGCCCCACAGGTCATCTTGAAAGGTGTAAAAAAGGTGGCTGAACTTGAACCGCAGTAGCAAGCCAGTAAGCAGTGTTCCTCCGAGATCTCTGGTTCAGTTCCAGTCCCCAGGTTCCACTGTGGCAAGTGGAAACCAAACAAACCCCTTTCTCTCCAAGTTCCTTTATGGTGTTACTCACAGCAACAGAAAGCAAAGTAAGACACCACGTAAACTGGGTACTCCAGTGGTGACTGTCATTTAGAACTTAGAGCAATGCTTTAGAAGAGGAAACAATAAACAAGTCAGTTCTTTAAAAAGGGTTTGCTTCTTCAATGTCATATATGTCTGCGTTCAAAAATTAATTGTACTCTGATCATTTGAGCTAAAAGCGGAGATCAGTGGAAAGTTGTCATATTCCACACTTATGTTACAATGCAGAAAGAAATTATTTGTTGTAAATGTTTAGCACATTATAACATTTTAACCTAGCATGATATACAGCTGAAGGTTTAGATATACAGTGAAAATACACTGTAATATGAAATTAACATTCATTTATATTGTACAAAATTTTTAATGTTAAGTAGTATTTTTCAATATAAAAAGATTGTCTAAAAAGCGAGGCTGGTACCTATCAAATTACAAAGATGCATATTTTAGAAAAAAAAAAAAAACCCTGGTGTTTTGGAGATGTGCTCCCATAACAGCTGTTTGTGATTGTTGTATACTATGAAAATATTTGCTTCCACATTTGAAGTTAATAATACAACAGTCTCTGGAATCTAATTTTCCTTAACAGTCAATGGCTCATTTGCTCATGTGTCAGTTTTTAATCACATGAACATTTAGAAACAGTCCTTCTTCCTTCAGAAAACACAACAATCTTTTTCTTTCTTTTAGAGAGGTAAAGGCTATTTTTAAAGCCACAAACATATTTAAAAGTTCTCATTCTCAGTAAAGAAAATCGTAAATAAGAAAATCTATTTTTACAATGTCTTTATAATCACTTTACAATATTTTTGTTGTTTTAAGATATTATTTGTTAAACGCCTCTTTTTCTTAAAGGCTCAAGAGTAATGAAAACTTATTTTCTCAAAAATCTACACTATTAACAAGAGCCCTTATTTCCTTAGTCCCGGAGAGGGTCGGTGAGGTAAAAAAAAAAAAAAAAAAAAAAAACCGCAGCTATAATAATCAACAAAAGGGCACAAAACCATTGTGTTAGATCTTCAAGAAATAAAGTCAATGCTAATTAAAGCAGGATGAGTAAACACTGAACAAATGTATCTTAACAATTAAGACAATGTTTAGGGAACCCTCTTCCGTTCTGAAGGGATTCAGCAGCTCTGTTGGGAGGGCTTTGCCTGTTCGCATGGAACACTGAAAGACTACATTGTTACTGCCCACACACAAGAATTAAATGCTGGGTTTGGGAAATCCATGGTCCTGTGAATGCGATTGGGTTTATGAGAAAATAAAAAAGAAAAAAAAAAAAAGATTTATACCATTGTTTACAAGGTCACACAGCGCACTCTCTCCCTCCATGCAATTTTGTGGAATTCCCTGAATCCAGGCCCTGTCACTGCTAATCTACTCATTTTTATCGTGGTCCTCTCTATCTGACCTTTCCTTTCCTATCGTAACAAAGATCCGGGGAGGCTGGGGACGTTGCTCAGGGGTAGCGCACTTGCCCAGTGTGTTCGGGGCTGCGTTCCAGACCCAGCTTCGCAAACGGAGAAAAAGCCAATCTAGTGCAGAGGGATTTTTCGATCGTTTTTCTTTTTCAGGATTTTTGCTCTGTCCAAACCTGCCTCCCGTCCGGCCGCACAAGTCCAGCAGCAGCGAGCTGCCCAGGAGGTGCCCGGTCACAACTCGCAGCCGCGGAGGGCACCGCGCTCGCGCGCCCCCTGCCGGCGGGACCCGGGGCGCCCCCGCTACCTGAATCGGGCGCCTTCCGAAGCGGTTGACGGCGTTGGGATCCGCGCCGGCTTCCAGGAGCTGCCGCACCGTCTCCACCTGTCCCCGCGCCGCGGCGGTGGCCAGGCCCGCGTCACTGCCGCCGCCCAGCATGCCCTTGTCCTCCTCTCGCAGCTCGGTCCACCGCAGGGATGGTCCTCCGCTGGCGGTGAGATTGCCGCAGCCCCGTCTCTGAGCGCCTCCCCTCTCCGGGGCCCCAGCAGTTTCAGTGCTCGTTCCGGGAACGCGCGGGCTCCAGCGCTAGCGCCTGGGAACCGCAAAGCAGGCGCAGCCGACTCTGCGTTCCGCACCGCCGCCGGCCCCGCCCCCTCATAGCACGCCCGCTGGGCTAACCCCGCCCACATAGGGTGACATCACGAGAAAACTGGGCGCGGGCGGGGGGGTGACCTAGCCGCCGAAGGTCTTAGACGCATGCGCAGAACATTAAGCTCCGGAGTCTGGAACGGAACGCGGCCGGTTGGCTATTTTTGAAAAAGTGAGCCTTTGCACCCGGTAGGCGGAGACATTAATCGCCCTCTTGCAATCCAGTGGCCGAACGAAAGCCTTCAGGGGGTAAAAAGTCCTCCCAGTTTCTGACATATCTGAAAGTGACAACACCTGTCACGCGAGGCTAGTTCATCTCTAGGCGGTACTTGTTAAGGATTTCACATCTAGCATCAGACTGAGCAATTTTCTTTTGGCCATGTCTTCCTATTTGGGCAGCCAGAAAAATAAGTAGTAAAACATCCCAAGAATCCTGTTTTGCATGTCTTTAATTTTTTTCTTCGAGCTGCGGTTGTAATTCTGAAGTTAAAAAATAATGTTTTAGAGACAGATTCCACCCCCACCCTCCACCCCACACATACGCAAAAGTAGATCATAAGAATTTTAAGATCCCTGGGTGTGTGCTTGTACTCAGCGACTTGGGAGGCTGAGACAAGAGGTCGTTGGATTCCAGAAGTTCAAAGACAATCAGTGTATAATTAGCCAGGACTCCTAAAACCTCTAGGGTCCAGTTCCACGCATGCACTGTACCACCTCAGCAAGCATTTGACTCTTAGTTATCATGTGTAATAAACAGCATTTATGCAGGAATAATGAAACAATAAAACTTGGGTGTGGTGCTGGGCCTGTCATTAAACAGGCTGAACCTGTCATTAAACCCTCTGAAGATGTAAGATCAAGTGCTGCGTTTCTCCCTAACCTTCTACGGGAGAGGGAATGAATGCGTTGCTTTAAAAATTTTAAATGTTATAACTGATGCTTCAGCGAAATAGGAAGAGGGCCATAAGGTGAATGTCTGTTGCCAAACAACTCTGGGACATGCTAATAGGAGAAAGGCTGGGCAGTTCTTATTCTCAAAATAGGTTCAGAGTGCTTATGAAGACAGTAATAAAGGGATGCTGAGTGTTTTATTTTTAAGAACCAAAGACTTCAGAACACATCTCCTGGAACCCTTCTGTCAGATTTCCCACATGGAACTATTTGTTGATGGTTACTCCACTCTTAACTTACTTCAGCAGAGGAACAGAAGTGTCCTTCTGGATGAAACATGTTTATAACCTGTTAGTTTTTTCCTTGGGAATCAGTCCCAAATGGATTTGCTGCGCAGGTGTGCACAGGTAGAATGGGAGACAAAGGAAGAAACATGGGCAATGGGGAAATCAGAGCTTCTGAAATGAATGACATTGGTGTTTTGCTAACAAATGGAAGTACTAAGCCAGAGGGTTGATATTAATGGGTGTGAAACAAGTAGATTCATTCTAGGATAATTTTTTTTTTTTTTTACCAGTAAATCTTTGCTACTCTGAAATTTAATTCACAGTTAAATGCAACACAAAGACTGTCTCTCTCTCTCCCTCCCTCTCTCTCTCTCTCTCTCTCTCTGTGTGTGTTTGGTGTATGAGCATATGTATGTGTGTGCTCACACAGAGGGTAGCTGAGGATGATGAGTGTCATGCTGGACCACTCTGTCTTATTGCTTTGAGACAGAATCTCTCTTTGAACCCTGAGCTAGGCTAGTGGCCAGAAAGTGTAGAAGATCCTCTGTCTCTCCCCTTCCCCCAGCATTGTGGTGACAGCTCTGTGTTGGAGAATGCCTATCTTTTTTTTTTTAATGTAGGTACAGCCACCTGAGCTCAGATTCCCATATTTATGCAATAAGTACTTTTACCCATTGAACCATCTCTCTAGCCCCAGAAGTCTGTCTTTTCAAGGTGTTGTAGGGACTTATTTTTAATGGATCTAGTAATTAAATTTAGTCCAACATACCTATATTAACTATTGACTATGTATTATGTTCTAATTTTTTATATGGGTAGAGTTTAACGTGATATATTTACTGAGAGCTATATTTACAGGGTATTTTGAGATTAATGAAGAGTGGATATTAACTCTGGATGATGATTCAGGGATCGTTTTAGAGGAAGAGTTTTATTGAAGGGAGTCGTATGTGTTTGCTTTAATTTTTTCCAGTACTGATGACTGAACCCAGGCTCTTGTGTATACTGGGCAACTATTCTCCCACGGGGCTGCATCTCCAGCAAGTACCAAAGTCATTAAAATATTCACCACAGTCACACTGCTTCATGTAATCTAACAGTGAGCTTTGGACTTTTCTGAAACTTGCAAAGTAAAATGTGCTTTGCACCAACTTCTAAGCTACCTTTTGTATAGTTAAATGTTTCTGGAGATGAAAACATTTATAAATAAGAAAAGGCAAAAGAATTGTTTGCCTTTGAAGAAAGCACAAGAAAATTACAGTACTACAAGAAAAAGCCAATAAGCAGAATGACTGAAAATTCCCAAGAGGAAGAAATGGGAGCTTTATTTCTCAGGGTGAAGGAAAGCATTTGGGGTAGGGGCACTGCTCGCCCAGGACGTGAGCGCGGCCACCAGTACCAAGGACAGCGACAACCTGTCCCGCCGGTCTGGGTGGTCCTTATCCTGTCAGAAAACAGAATTTTAGGGACATCAACCTTGACGGTTTAAATGCCCTGTTTCCCACCCGCCACCATCTGTAATCCCGGTATCCAGGAAGCTATAGCAGGAGGATTGTGGCAACTTTGAGGCCAGCCTGGACTACAGGGTGAGGCCCTGTTTTAAAAGATACCAAAGGAAAAAAAACAAAACAAAAAAACAAAACAAAACAGGAAACACCCCAAGGAAACTCAATGGGCTTTCCCCACCAAAACCAACCCGCTCAACTTGTCTCCCAGATATTACTGTTATTTAATATTATATTTATAGAGAATAATATTCACTATATTTGAAAGAAGAAAACAAAAAAAAAACATTCTATTTCCTCTTCCAAGTGCCTTACAATTATTATTACATTCTATCTCCATAAAGCTCCTATGTAACATACACTGTTATCATAATTTTATAGATAAGACAAAAGGATCAGGGAACTAAGTAACTTGTATATTACCTAATCATTGGAGGTGGGGTCTTACCTGTGTAGCTTCAGAGCCTCTGCCCTTTACACTAAGTGGTGAGCAGTAGCAGCTGTGGTAGGCTCAACAGGAAAGAGGCAATAAATGGCAAACAGCTATTTCCTACACTACATTTTTTTTTTTCAGGTAGCTCAAATGATGATATCAAATATCAAATGATGATATTTCAAAAGTAATACTGATATGATAGTACATTTGTTTTGGATAACAGAGTGAGATAATCAAGCATTTTATTTGTCTCTGGAGCCCAGCTGATTCCAGGATAAAGGACAACCTGATTGATTGTGACTCAGACAGTGAGGGATGAAGCTTCGTGGGAACACAGCTCCAACTTAAGTGTTTTAGCCATGTCTTGGTCAAGTGGAGCACTCAAAAGACAAACCAAATGACAAGCTGACTTTAAGCTTGGAGATCAGTAGAAGGGAGTGAGTAAAATCAGTTCTAGTATGGTATATTATGCAGATCAAAGAAAATATTTATGTTCTAGTTAGTGACAATAATATAAACTCATTATAAAAGTGTGACAAGAATTAGATAAGTGGCCAAGAGGAGCAGCGATGTAACAGTGCCCGTTGTGTGTTCTAGTACAGTGTTTCCAAGTAAGGAGAGAAGGAGATACAGAATCACTTCTGGGGCTGTTTCAAATTACATTCAACACACCTCCCCTTTAAGAGACTTGATTTTTTTTTTGTCTCATTAGTTGCTAATTGTTACTCCAGGATTCACATTACATCACATTTTGTATCTTGTATGTCACCATTTTCTTCTTTGCTCCTGCTCTCCTTCCTTTTCCTGTCCTACCTAGACTTTGAGACAGCATCTCACAAAGTTGCTCAATCTGGCTTTGTTGTAAATCTCAGGCTGCTCTTAAACTTTTAACCTCCCTGTCTCAGCCTCCTAAGTGCTGGAATTATAGGCATGCATCACCATCTGATTTCTTTGATAATCTTTAGGGGGCTGGGGAACTGAAGTATCTTGACTTTACTGTCTTCTTTTTCCAGGGAGACCAGCTCTAAAGAGGAGATGCTACTTCATCATCTACATCCAAGAAAGTCAAGACAATTACTGTTTTTAAAATTCATTTGTAATTTTTCAAGTTAGTGAGCTCTCTCTAGCATATTCTAAAAATGATTAATGATTTGAAGATTTTTGCTATAGATTCAAATAGTGTGCTTCAGTCCTGTCGAATGCTTCAATCCTGTAGAGTTCTTGCTGGTCTGTAAGCCCTATCTTTGGTCAGTGGCCCCTGTAAGTTGGTTCCTGAATTCTTTTAGCATGATCCCAGTGGTCTTGCTCAAAATCTTTGATTTCTGGTATTACATTATGTTCTAGTGTTATCCTGCATGTTTCATGCTGTATACATATTATGAACAACTTCTTTGAGGGGTGCTGGGTCTTTTTAGTAGGAAATAGTACTTAAACTACAGTCTGGGAATTGCTAGAACATTTTTGCTTCGAGGTTGATCACTATATGTCTTTGTTCTTGTCTTTATATGCAAAACTTAATTGGTTCTTAACTCAGGGAAATTATGTAGATTTTCATCTACATGAATATCAGGGGGATGTTAGGTTAGCAATTCAGTAGCATAGGCCTTTGGCCAGGTATGGCCTCAAAGTGGTTGCCACAACCAAAAAAGACATGCATTGGATAAATATCCAAATTCTCCCATAACATGCCTGTCTTTGAAAGACTATATTTAAATAATATATTGATAGTGAGAGATGTAATCAAAAGATTATTTAGTAAAATCAAGAATTCTCTACCTCTATGGGATTTTTTCCTTCTCAGCACATCGGTCATTCATTTTACACGGCTCAGCTCCACTCAGAGTTGGTGTTAGGCATGGTACATGGG